TCTGACTGTCTGTCCGCTGCGGTCTGTCTGACTGTCTGTCTGGCAATGGCCTGTCTTACTTGCCTTGCCTGCCTGGCCCGCCCGCTGAAATTTTTTTTTGCCAAACGGTATATACATAGGAAGGATTTAGGCCGGCCTTTTCTGATTGGCTGGAATTTGGCAAGTGTTCAGCCTCCATGACTAGTAGCCAAATTCCTCAATTATCTACCAAAAAACTCCAGAACTTTCTGTAGTTAGGTAAAAGTAGTTTTTAGTATGTTTTCCTTAAAACAACAATGGTTTGAGTGAATTAACCCGCAAATATGATGGGCCGTTCTTGACTGGATTTGCTTTGATGAAGAAAACCCTTTAAAAACAAGAGAACAAACGCCATTTGGAAATGTTCAAGGAAATGTTCTGTTTTGTTATGCCCCTAGATAAGTAAGTTTCTGATGTATTTCCATGAAAAACACATATTTTACTCATTAATACCACTCGTCGGCGTGAAAGCGACGAGCGAGCCGACGACGATGTGGTCGCATATAATGACGCCGCCCGTGGTCGCTCGCCTTCACGTGCGCGTACATGACGCTGCTTTCACCCGTGTCTCATTAGCTGCCTCCACTTAATTCCCTCCGTAAAAAAAGGCGGACATTTGTCGGCCAATCAGCTGATATAGCGCGGCGCGCGCGGAGTGTGGTTTGTTCTCACAGCGAGGCCGCTCGCCCCGTGATTGCCTTAGTGCGCTAAAACACGCGTCCGGCGCGGCAACAGCATGAACACGGGGCTTGCCGCGGTCACACATGCTCCTACATCACACAGCTCCTACAGCTCCTACAGGACACAGCTCCTACATCAGGCCTATCTCCGCGTCTCTGTATGTGCTCTATGTCCGCGTCTCTGCATGTGCTCTATGTCCGAGTCTCTGTATGTGCTCTATGTCCGCGTCTCTGTATGTGCTCTATGTCCGCGTCTCTGTATGTGCTCTATGTCCGCGTCTCTGTATGTGCTCTATGTCCGCGTCTCTGTATGTGCTCTATGTCCGNGCTGCTGCTGCTGCTGCTGCTGCTGCTGCTACTCACAGGCACTTGAAGCGTTTCAATAAAATATAATGCTAAATAAATACGAAATCTATTTACTACCAAAGTCTTAATGTTTCTCTACTCTCTTTCACCTATTATTGCCGACAATTTCCTGTAAATGCCGTCCAAATGCTCATCTGCAATACACGCTGGCCGCCGCACGCTAGCTGCTGCACACTGACACATAAATATAGTCATAGTAGTAAATAGATTTCGTATTTATTTAGCATTATATTTTATTGAAACGCTCCAAGTGCCTGTGATCCGCACAGCATCCCAGCCCCGCTCGTCGGAGCATGAGTGATCCTGAGTGAGTGAGTGTGGGGCCACCACGGCGCGAAGTGCCGAGGTAAAGGAAATCGCGTTGCCTGTAGCAACGGAGATTGAGTTCGGAATGTAGCAACGGAGATTGAGTTCGGAAACAAGCCTGCGGCGACGATGAATTATTAACGACGTCGAAGGCGGCGGTAGCGGCGGCGGCGGCGGCCTACCCGCGCTTTCTACGACTGCGAGAAACACACTTCAACCACCCACCCCGCCGCGCGTGTCCCCTCTGTCTCTCTCTACCTCCGCGCCGGCGCTACAAAGCAACGACTTCTAAGAACCGGGGAAATTTTCAGCCGATGGAAAATAAAAAAGCGAAAATAAGGAAGCGAAATAAGTCTCTAATAGGATGACAACAAAATATTTCTCCTTGATGTGGCTGGGGTTCTTTTTCCCCATCTCTATTCCGCGCAAAATCCTCAGCCTCGCGGCACCTATCTGAGAGGCATTATCTGAAAGTGCTTCTCAACAGCAGATGTTGAGAAATCGGCCGAAGGTTTGAGCGCAGAGTTGTCGCACGTATAAATGCGTGCGCTGCCCTCTCACGATCAACAGCATTTCACACGGCCTCGGGCGGACACGCTCACAGCCATAGAAATATTACTCTAGTCGTTAGTCTCTTTATACATTTCCTCAGCCGTTGAAATAACGGTTGAAATAATAGTTACGTTCTCTCGCTCACACGCACACTCTCTATCTCTATCTCTGTCTGTCTATGTATATTTTTTTCCCATGCTTTCGACCATAGAAATAACACATGCGTTCATCTTCCTCTATACACTTCCATGGTCTCACCCATAGAAATATCTTGTCATGTACTCAAGTGAGAGACACGTCGACGACGTCGTGACTGTTTTGACCTTGCACGGATGACACGCTTTCGACGTGAGCGAGTGAATCGGTAGACACGGCGAAACACCGAAGCATCGGCCGTACTCTATACAGTCAACTAGCTAGCACCGACACACGCGCGTGTG